AGGTGCTTGACTCAATGGATGTATGTATGGACTGTGATAAGAATTGTACGAGCCCTCAATAAAATAATTTTTTAAAAAAAGAAGAGGGCAACTAGAAGACAAAATGATGGAACTTACTAAAATCTTAAAGACAAGAGAAAAACAAAAAAGAAAACAAACTAAAGTAGAAACATGGGGTTTGATTAGGAAATCTAATATTATAATTATTGGAAACCCAGAAAACTGTGTTAACAATAAATGCATATAAACAATTTGGGAAATGAAGTCCCTCCAATCCTCAACAAAGAACTAAACCTGGAACTACAGGAAGCTATACAATCCTCAATTAGAAAAAAACACAATCAGTCAACCTCCCACCACATCTTACTGAGATTCTTGAAAACAAAATACAAAGAGACAATCCTGAAATCAGCAAGAGTAGAAACAACACGCCAAGGGTCTCTACTAAGAATCAGTGCAGATTTCTCCCCAGAACCGCTACCTATCAGAGTGGCATGCCTAAAATGCTGAGCGAAAATAATTGCCAACCAAGAATTCTTAATCTAGTAAATTTTCCATACAAAAACAAAGGGAAAATAAGATATTCCTAAACAAACAGAATCTCTTGGAATTTACAACTATCAGACCAGCAAAAGTAGGAATAAAAACAAAGTAAAGTCAGCAAATATAGACGCTGCATATTGGTGTAGTGGTTTCAGGTTGGGCTGTGATCCACAACGTTGGCAGTTTGAAACCACCAGCAGCTCAGCTCTGCAGGAAAATGACTGGGCTTTCAACCCCTATAAACAGTTAACAGTGTCAGAAACGCCCCCCCCGGGGGGGGGGGGGGGGGGGGGGGGGGGGGGGGGGGGGGGGGGGGGGGGGGGGCGCGCGGCTGTCGCTATGAGCCAACATCGACTTATGGCAGTGAGCTTGGTTTTTTGGTTTATATTGATGTTAATGGAGACTGAGTAACAGAAATGTGGAGGGAAGGAACATTTCCAGAATAGATTTATTATGTTAAAGATATATGTGAACTGTCAGTCCTGTTTAATGTTGTAAGTTGTATGTCAAAAAATACTGCTATAAAATCACAGATACCTTTATGAAAACATAAAAAATAAAAAGACCCGTCCTCCATCTGTGTTGATACACTTCTGAAGGCCGTGTGTCCACCTCTCTAATCCTGGGTGATTAGGGTCAGATAGGGAACGCGCAAAAGCAGTGACCGGCGTCAGATAGGACCAAATGGGAAAGATGGGATATGAATTACCTTCACAATTTTGGAAATTAACCTATGTCAGTCATTACTCATTCATATGAATTCTCTCCTCTTGAGGAAAGCCCACGGGGGCTAGTACAGGGCAGTCTCAGCTCCCTGTGGGATGCTCTAAGAGTGAAGGCTAATGGACACAAAGAGCTCCCAGAGGGAATCTTGCACTTCCCAGAATTAGCAAAGTTAGGGACACTCTTCCACGGGCGTAGAGAGTAAAGGCAGATATTTCCTCCTATAGGATGGTGCAATAGACTGAAAAAATGCAAAGGACATACCTGCTCACAGGAGACTGGAACACAGCAGGGGACCACCACCTTAAGGAGAGAAGTACAGTGGTTGTCAAACGAGTATAAGAGAAAATCTGGCAGAATAATGGAATAATCCAAATTCCCCAAACTGAAACCATCCTGACCCAGGTTCACAGTCACAACGTTTTAGAACTCCAAACGTGACAACACCTGGAGTTTGGAGCTCAAATTTGTTTTAACTTTTGGAAAGAACATCTTCGGGAGTCCTCCTTTCCTGTCTGGTTAACATGGGTACAGGGTCCAAAGAAGGGAGGTGCAAGTCCTCTGGGGTCTTCACACTGTCAGGTGCTCCTCACCAGGATGCCAGCAATCCATCCCCACAAACCAGGCTTGGCATTCAAACAGATAACCTTTTCTAAAACTACTCTCACACGTGGAACTACACAGAGTCTAAATGGTGTGGTATACTACCGGTTGTGGGTATTTTGCCCTGGGGTTTATAAGACTGTCGAGGGGGCAGTAGTGACCAAGTGGTAGAATCCTTGTAGAATCCTTGCTGTCCACACAAGAGATTCAGGTTTTTGGTTTGGTTTTTTTTTTTGAGATTCAGGTTTCACTCAATGAACCTCTTCAACTGCCAAAGGCCATCTCTCAGGAAGGCTTGCATTTTGCTACAATGTTAAACAGGCTTCAGGGGAGTTCCCTACTAAGATGAACTAGGTAGAAAGACCTGGTGTGCTTCCAAAGAGCAGCCAATGAAAGGCTTACATATTCAATAACAAATTATGGGGATGGTGCAGGCCTGGCTATCTGCTATGCAGAGGGTCCCCATGAGATGGGATCAACTCAACAGCAACATTTTCCTCTAGGATTAGAAGACAAAAACCAGAAAGAACCAAAAACCTCACTGCCTTCAAGTTGACTCCAACTCACAGTGACCTTAGAGGGAAGGATAGAACCGCCCCTTTGGGTTTCCAGGAGCAGAGAGGCCACATCAACATTCTCCTGAGGACGGCCTAATGGGTTTGAACTGCTGACCTCGAGGTAAACAGCCTGATCTATGACCCACCACACTACTGGGTCGCCTTTATGCATGAGACAGGGGGAAGGCATTCCTTTTGACTGTCCTGTCCTCTTCTGGAGAACTCAGAGCATAAAGCAACCATTCTGAAGAGCCAACGCCTCCACTTAGTCACGAGAGACAAACAGAGATAACGACACCGAGAGAGCTGAGTCAAAAGGGATGGAAACATGAGCTTTGGAGTCAGGTTGTTGTTGTTGTTTTTGTTGTTGTTGTTGTTGTTTTCGGTGTCAGGTTGTACAGGTAGGAACTCTGCTTTAATCTCCCTGGGCATCTGTTTTCTTGTGTGAGAAACTGAGTTCATAGCGGTACCTTCCTCACTGGGGCCCAGGGTGAGTTCACTACTTTCGGGAGAGTCCTCCTTGAAATGTGTCTGGGGCAAGGAGCCGGGAGTCCTCGGTGTGGCCCTGGAAAGCCCACCAGGAGCGGGCTCTCAAGGAACAGGCGTCAGCTCCCATGGAGCTACTTCCTCCCCATAGCTTTCTCCTGGTTCTCCCCCTGGCTTGGGCCCATACAGCCACTATTCATAGGTAGTTTTCTGGAAAGTACAAAAGGAGGGAAAGCCCCAGGGATCCGGCATCTGCCATGTGGTTTCCAGGGGGAGAAAGGGTGACCTTTGTTCTTGTTATGACAACTCTTTATGCGTTTGGTTACCTAACACAGTAGATGGCATATAATCATTCATCTCTCTATGAATTATTATTAGTACAGCAGAACACTGATCATGTTCTCACCTCGGGTCGTAGTCCTAGCTCATGGAATGCCACCCCCGTCCATGAGTCCTCACCACTGCCTCCTCTATTTTGTGGCCTTCACACACTATAGGGGCCACTTAGTTGGTGGTCTGTTGCCCCTTACATGGAGAGTTCCTGGAAACAGGCACTAATTCATCTTCATTTGTTTGCTCTCAGCTCTACACACATACACTAAAGTGTGATGAACAGATAAAGTGATCAATGACCAAGCAAGCAACTTTGGAAATATACAGGGTTAACAAAATCTTTGGAGGGTGGAGGCAAGCCAAGTGGTTAACCCTCTCTCTGGTTGATATCGTGATTGGTCTTAAGCCTGAGCTCAGTTTCCAACTGCCGATGTGCTGGATTGCAGCCGAATGTGTAATCACTCGGACTGAATATCCCACTTCAATACTAATCTATGTTTCCTGAGACTATTTTTTAAAAGAGACGTGTTAAAAATCAAAGGATGCTCTTCCTGCCTAGTGCAGTAACCCACCCCCATCTGTCTTGTCATGCTGAGGTGCTGGGAAGCTCTATGCAAAGTATTCCATTGCCCCCCACCCCTCGCCAAATCATCCAACAGTCCACACTAACTGGTGTGATAGCAGCTCTTAGACATCCCTCAAACCTGGACTTGAACCCACCCTCAGGGATCACCCTTCAGCCAAACAATGGACAGGCATATAAAGTGAATGATTAACACTGGTGGTGAGGCACATACTCCCCTGAACAAACAACCATAGAAGAACAAAGTTAAGAACCTACCCAACAGCAAAGCACAGAAACAGGAAGGGGCAGTGGGGGAAAAAAGATCAATGTAGATAGCGAACCCAGGGCAGACGGGGAAGAGGGCTGCTCCCTTCAGGAGATTGCAGCAAGTGTCATGAAACAAAACGAGGCCTCCTAGTGCGCCTGGGTTTCTGTCTACCTTCTGGTTCTTCAAATAATGCCAGCTTCCCAGAAGTCATCAAGGCATAACAGTTAGTGTTTACAGTGAACCCTCGCCACTTCGCGCTTCGACTTCCGCAGCTTCACTCTATCACGGTTTTTGTGTAACAGCGCATGCTCTGTCATTACTGCCACTGATTGGCTCATACTGTACACGCTTGATGCCATAAATAATATAATAAATAATAAATGATCATTGTAACGTCCAAAATGTTTTACTGTAATTTCCCTTTTTCGTTTAATAAATTGGGTAATACGAATGTAATGGTGACTAAAGGGTGTTTTTTCATGTCCTCTATGCTCTAACTACGAAAATATTTGATTTACAAATAAGGAACCCTACTTCGCGGAATTTCCTTTATCACGGTAGGGTCTAGAACCGATTAACCGCGATAAACGAGGGTTCACTGTATTTGCCTATAGCAACAGAGGAAGAAGAATCAGGAGGAGGTCTGGTAGCATAGTGGGTTCCAATTTGGGTGGCTAACTACAAAAGTCAACAGTGTGAAACTGCCACCTGCTCCTTGGGAGGTGAGGCTAAATCAACCCCAGGCCAGTGGGTTTTACTTTGGTTGCGCTGCTTGGTTATTTATTTGATAAAATGTTAATTAGTGACTAATTGCAACCATGAATAAAGTTCTCATTTACTTGAGACCAAAATTAGATGGTGCCCACCTACCATTACTGATCAACAATTCTATAGAAGAATCCTGATCAAAGGTGTGTATATGTAGAATGAAGTTTTAATTTTTATAAACTCTAGTATTTCTGGAGCCATGTGGACTATATAAACTCATGAAACTGTTGTGGTAAGGTAACATTTAAACCTTAAACCACATATAGTCCTTGAAGTCTTCCTAAAACTAAAAAATAGTTCAGATGAACTTGCAAAGGATGTCCGCCTTGAGCACGGTGATCTTCTAGGATATACCTATAGGAGAACCTGGTGGCACAGTGGGTTATGGGTTGAGCTGCAGAAAACAAGGTCAGCAGTTCAACCCCACCAGTTGCTCTAGGGGAGAAAGATGAAGCTATCAGTTCCCATAAAGATTTACTGTCTCATAAATCCACAGTGGCAGTTCTAGGCTATCCTATGGGGTTTCTATAAGTTGCAAATTTGTAAGACTATGATAGTCAACTTAAGAGAATAGTGAGTTTACATTAATGGGGGAGGAACAACTCAGATGAAGAAGAGGATTGTACAACTCAATGAATACAACCAATGTCATTGAATTGTGCATGTAAAAACTGCTGGATTGGAGTGTATTCTCCTGCGTATTGTCTCAACAACAAAAATAACACAAGAAGAAATAGCTCTGATCATGAAAATTCTCCCAACAGCAAGAAGTCCAAGACTAGGTGATTTTACCAGGGAATTCTACCAACCACTTAGAGATGAGTTAACACCAATCCTATTAGTGAACTATCCTGAACTATTTCAGAATACAGAAAAAGGCAGTCTACTACCAAACTCACTTTATGAAGCAAGTGTCGCCCTGATGCCGAAGGCAGGCAACGACATAATTGAACATTGTAGACTAATATCCCTGATGAATGTAGGGAACATATGAATATCATAAGGTTCAAAAAAATCCTAGTCAACAGAATTCAACATAACCTCAAAAGCAAACAAACAAACAATACATCGTGATCAAATGAGATTCGGTATCAGGTATTTAAGGGTGGTTCAATATTAGAAAAGCAATCAACGTAATCCATCACATAACAAAATAAAGGAAAAGAACCATATGATTCTATTAATTTAAGCAAAAAGGGTAATTGATAAAACCTGCCAGACATTCTTGTTAATGGCACTTATTAAAATAGGTAAAGAGGAAAATGCCTCAACAAAACAAAAACTATAAGCAAAAAATCAATGGCTAGCATCTCAGTTAATGGAGAGAGATTTACAACCTTCCCTTCCAAACGGGAGCCAGAGAGGGTTGCCCTTTACCACCACGCTTATTTAACATAGGCCTGGAAGTCTCAGCCAGAGCTTTAAGACATCAGAGGAATATTAAAGGTCTCCAAATTGGCAAAGATGAAACAAAACTCTCTTTATTTCCAAATCACATAATCTTATATACGGAAAACCCCAACGAATCAATTTAAAAATTGCTGGAATTAACTGAAAATTTGGATAATGTAGCAGGCTACAAGGTCACATACAAAAGTCAATTTGATTCTTGTGTATTAGAGAAGAGGACCCTGAGAAGGAAATTTAAAGAACAGTATCATTTACAATAATTACCTACAAGATAAAATACTTAGGAATAAATCTAACTAAAGGGGGGAAAAAG